TCCTGCTCCAGGCATTTGATTTACTTAAACTGAAGAACAAAGAGACAAACTTGTAAACAGTTGTAACTGGATAAAGTCTTAGTGCATGGAATCTTGAGGTTGATGAGTTTATATATCTATGCCTGAGAAGAGGTCTTTGACAGGTGCTCTGGTCTTGTGCTTTACTGTGCTTATGTAAATAATTCCATAATCTTGCACACTAGAAAAAATTGAATTTATCTGCACAACTCAGGTGTGAGGAGATGTTTTATTCATTTAAAATTACTAAATAATTGTTTGCTTTACAAAACAGTTATACTGGTAGTGATTTGTAACTGCACCAGATGATTCTTTAGAAATACTGCTTTAATGTAAGGGGTTAATTGGAAAGGAATTATAAATATTTGTAAATGGTGAAAAAAAAAAAATATTTCCACCTACAGGTTGGTATCTGTATCTTGGAATCCTTATAGCTTTCTGTTTTGACTTTCTGCTAACAGGTCACATTTAGGGCAGGCAAAACATAAGGCACATAGCCCTCCTGAGAGTAGAAAATCTATTTCAAAGACACCCAAAGTGCAGTCTAATACTACTACTGAGCAGTCCAAGGGACACTTTTCTAAAAGGTAATTGCGCTTCATATTCATATGTTAACCAGTGTTATCTGTGCTTCACAACTGTGTATAACATACCTAGTTATACAGAGTTCTTATAAAATATATGACTAATAGGTTGTAACTAATATAGGTATTGCCTCCAGTGGCAGTATTTCAATGTTTCACATTGTGTTTGTGTTTTCGTTTTTTCTAATTCACCAAGAGCATTCCATCAGTGATGGGGAGGAAATGATATCTGCATAACTAGTCCTGAAATACTTGCAAGGTTTTTTCCCCTTTTGTTGCTTCATGTTGGGGGAAGATTGCCCAAGGAGTTCGGAGCTATGTCCAATATTAATTGAAACTTGTAATAATCTAAAGTATGCCTGTGTTCAGGGTAATCAGCTCGGTCGTGTTCTGTTTGCTTTTCATACACTTCTGCTATATACACACTGTAACAGTTTTCTATCATGTAGAAGAAAACTTTGCCTTTTTTGTGTGTGATTCATTACCTCAATTTTAAGATTCATGAGAAAGTATCCTTTCATTAAGAGCCTTTCCTTATCTAGAATCCCATTTATGACTAGTTATGCATTACTTGAACACTCCTTACTCTCTTGTGGAACTTATATTCTCAAACGTTTGGATAACAGCTTCATGGCTTTTTTTTTCTTTTTAATCAGTTCAACATATCTATAAAAATAGATAGTAAAATCTATCCCGGTTACGTCATACCTGCCTTTTTAAAAAAAGCAGTGTGCTGTGCTTTTATTTTGCAATTTATTTTCATGCCAGCAAAGGCTTGCAATGTGACTGTTCTCATACAAGCATGGTTTTTTTTTTTCTTGTTTCAATGTAAGCTTAATAATCAACAGTGTTTCTTACCTGTGTTTTCCTTTATTATTAGAGAATGCTGACATGTATCTTGCAACACTGTTTCAACTGTGAGGTTTCTTGAGTTCAACACTAACTCTGTTCCTGCTTACTTCTACAGAGGCTGTAGTTCATCTGCTGTTTTAATACCACAACAAGAAGATCCAGAAAGAGTCAATACTTCAGAAAAGCAAAAAACGGGGCAAGTGCCTAAGAAAGACAATTCTCGAGGAGTTAAACGCAGTGCTAGTCCAGATTACAGGAGGACCAATTCTCCTAGCTCTGCTAAAAAACCCAAAGCACTTCAACACACTGAAACTTCCTTGGAAACTAACAAGCCACATACTAAATCTAAGAGAAGACACTTAGACCAAGAACAGCCGAAGTCTACACAATTGCCATCAACAAGCAAGGCTCACACCAGAAAGGGTGGAGCTGCTGGTAGCTCCCGAAGTCAGAAAAGGAAAAGGACAGAGAATCTGTCTTGTATAAAGAGTGGTTCAGCCGTTGAATCAACTGGCGCTGAAGAGAAGTCAGCAAAACTCTCCAAGCTGGCTTCAAAATCGGTGACCTCAGCCAAAGCTGGGTGTAGCACCATCACTGATTCTTCTTCTTCAGCTTCCACATCATCCTCTTCTTCTGCTGCTGCCTCTGCTTCTTCTACTGTTCCTCAGGGTGCCAGAGTGAAACAGGGAAAGGACCAGAATAAGGCTAGACGTTCCCGTTCTGCATCCAGCCCCAGTCCAAGGAGGAGTAGCAGGGACAAAGAACCAAGTAAAACAGGTGGCTCTTCAAAGTTTGACTGGGCTGCCCGATTCAGCCCAAAAGTCAGTCTCCCTAAAACAAAACTGTCTCTGCCAGGCTCTTCCAAGTCAGAGACATCAAAACCTGGACCTTCAGGACTGCAGGCTAAGCTAGCAAGTAAGTTGCTCTTTTGTGGAAGAATAAACATGTATGTTTTAAAGTTAAGTCTTCTAAACAAATACTTCTATTGTTTTCAGGCTTCTTGGTATCTTCTGAAAGAAATTAACTTCTAATGTATTCTGCTGAGCTTTTAAGTAAAGTTGTGACTGAAACTATTTCCAGCTAAAACAAATTATTTAAGTACAGTCAGTGTTCTATAAGTTTAAGTTGCTTCTCTGTCTTGGTAATCAATTTAAAAAATAAAATATATGCAAAATACTTGGATGTTGTGATAGGGACATATATGTTATAAAACTCTTGATTATATTCCTCCTATCAATTTTTTTTTTTCCTTCTCATTTTCTTAAGCTTTCTGTCCTGAAGTGGGAATGATAAATGCTGGAAAACAAGTAGATAATATGCAGTTTCTTGTTTCAAGCCCACTTTCCTAACTTTTCCTTACTGTGATGTTACTTTAAGAACAATAGTCTTTTAAGCCTAGTGTACCTAGTGCCTGGGATGTTAGTCACCTTATCTTTTAGATTGTCCCTACAAAATATATCTTCTCTGTGCAGGTACCATTTTTGGACATTGTCATTAAGCAATACAGGGTGTCTCCAGGCAGAGCACTTGCTTGCTAGTGTGCAGATGTGCTTGTAGCTCTGTTGCCTTGAGCAAAGTTTTTTTTTTTTTTTTTTTAAATGCATTATGCTACCTTTGTATATTGTATGATTTACTTCTAGCATGTATTCTCTAAAACTTGATGGAAGAAGTTGGATTCCTAAGTTTGCTTACTGTTGTTCCTTTACTTAGACATGATCGCAAGTAGCCTGTCCCACCTAGGGCATGTCTATAGCTAATACTAACGCAGGAAATATGTGAAATAAACAAGAGCAACTGGATGTCTTCCTGTATAATCAAGATAGATTTAATTGACCTAACCAATGAGTTTTGGATAACTTACATGATTGGAGTATTGATTCTGGAATGACTTAACCTAATTGAGGAAGAATGGCTTTGGGGAAGGGGAGAGAAGTTACTTTCTTTACAGCAAGGTTTTATTTACCTGCTCCATGGTTCAGGACTTTACTGGGTGATGAATTCCAGAGTAAAATCTCTAAATTTGCCCAGGGTGGAGTGAGGGTGAAGTTGGTTGGAATCAGGCAAGAATGGGGCTGACCAACAAGTTCTTAGCTAAGTCTGTCCTTGTTACAGGCAACTTTTTAGCAATGAAGCAACAGGGAGGAGAAAGAATTTACCTCCAACAAGTGAACAATGAGAAGGTGAAGGCAGAGAAAGAGTAATTAATGTGACAAGCAAGGAGTGAGAAGGGGAAGGATGGGATAGCAGAGTGTAAGGGAAGTGTGTGTTGAGCAACTTGAAAAACAGCACTGAGAATATGAGCCTAAACTGTCTCCACAAAGAATGTTCTGAGAAAGCCAGCTTGACTAGCTTTAGCTCTTCCATGACCTGAAAGACATCTTTTGCAAAAAGACAAACAAGTTGAACTAACATTGATGTATATGTCACAAAAACAAAGTTGGTATGGACTGTAGGTATGTGTGTGTATGTATAAAAAAAAAAATCACTGGTAGGACAAAAAGCATGGTGAGAGGCTTCTAAATGGTATCCCAGTTTGATGGGACAAAGTACTAATAGGTGATACTAGGAAGTCTAAAATGTCTCATGGCTGTTTATTTTACTCAGAGTAAGTGATTATACTGAATATCACTAAGAGTAAGAACTTAACCTAGAATAGAAGAAAAGTGTTAAACTTCATGATGTTTTTTTTTCTTGGCCTTTCAAACAGTGTTAGAGTTCTTTGACAACAGATTGAAGCGATCTTGGAATCAATAGCAACTATTAGCTTAGCCCTTTTTTAAAAAACAGAGAAAATAACTTGTCTGCCGTACTTCTTCACTAACTTGAAAATATTGGGACAAATTTGAAATATTTTAACAAAATAAACATTTTAGATTAATACTGAGACGTGTCAAGAAAATATTAAGAAAATAATCCTTCAGAGTAGGTTTTTAGGAAGAATGTGTCGATTCAGATTTACTTTCTGTAGCAAGCTAGTACCCTTAGAAGGTAAGGGAACAGAAGTAGGTGATTTTTCACACAGATATTGGCACACCTAAAGCTTTCTAAAGCAGTAAGGCAAACAGTGATCTAGATTAAATTATTGAGGTGTACACCCCTCTGCCTGGAAACTTGTCTTTAGAAGTCATAGTAATCCTGTCTAGAAAGTGAAAGCTAAAACTCAGTAGGCTTGTCTGGGTATATAATATGAAACAGATGTTTGAAGAAGTTTGAAATAGGGCTCATAGAACTAGTGGGAAATGAAAACAAACATGCAAACATGTTTAACTCTGTGAAGAGGAAAAAAAATTTCAGGAAAAATTATGGTGGGGAGTGGTTCTAGGAAGAAAAGTGGGAGGAGAGGGGAGATTATTCTGGCTAACATACGATCAGTCGTGTATATAAATGCAATGCTGCTCACTTCTGGATATTGCAGTTCAGGAAGTACAAGAAGAATTATTTGTAAGTAATAGAAAAAGAAAAGCTAAGCTGGCTTATTCTACTGAAGAGAAGAATGAGGAGAGACATGGTTGCCATCTTTGCAGAAACTTTTGACATATTGAAGGAGAATACCCTGAGGCTTCTTGTCCAGTCCTCACCAGATAATTAATAGGTGTTAAGTGCAGCCAAGGTGACTTCCATAGTCTTCAGCTACACAGCAGTATGTGTAACTGAGCAGTGACATCACTGAATAACAGATATAGAATTTGGAAGAATAAAAACAGGCTAGACTAAAGTTTTTACATCTAATTTTGTAGCTAAATATTTCTTGACAGAGTGGGGATGGTGAAGTTTCTTGTTTTGCTCCCTTGAATTGACTTTTTTCACATCCCTTTCAAGTTCTATATTTTGTAGGGGCTTTTGAAATATTGTGAATCTGTCATCTCACTGATTATGTAACAATATAAAAACAAGCTTAATTATGCCTCCATTATTGGGGAAATCTCTGCTGCTTTTTGTGTAGTGTCTTGCAGCCCTTAAGCAGGAAGGAGCTGGCTGTGATGGCTGGGACAGTGCTGAGAGCAGGGTAACTTAGGATAGCTGTCCCTGACTGAGAAGCTTCTACCAAATACTTGAAGATCTAAGGGGCTGAACAGGTTATTGGGTTACACTGAAAAGCCACATGAAGGTGAACATGAAGTGTGAATGGTGTATAACTCCTAGCTTCAAGGGATTTGGCAGAGATGAGGGAGAAAAGAATCTGAAAATAGCTCTGAACTAGTTTATTTGGGGTTGTGGGCGATACTGTTTTCTTCCCTGATGGTCACTAAAGCCTTAGAGTTGTGGGTTTGGACCTGAGGAAATACATTACTACCTTGGAGATAATTTATTTAATTGTGGTGATGGGCTGTGTGGAGCTACAATCAAGAGCTGAGGATGTCTGGGCTGGTACTGAGGGAGGGGAATAGTGGTGTATTAGAATGACAAAAGGTCATCTTACTGTGCCTTGCCACACAGCTATTTTCACCCTGTCTTTATTGCATGAGGAGGAGAACAGCCCAACACAGGAGCCAATCTGAAGTCTAAACTTCTCACCCTAACAAGTAAATCTCTACTGGTTATCTTTCTGAACTGCAAATAAAGGCCTCTCCAGGTTATGGACTGTGAAAGTTTGACTAACTTTGTTTTGGCTACACTCAGACTTAAAATAAGTGAATGCAGTGTAGCTGCATTTAGAACTTTTTTTCTTTCAAACCACAAAAAATGCCTTTAAAAAAAATGCCAACCAGTAAACAGTAAACACTTAAATGTGAAGATGTTATTAAGATTTTTTTTTTTTTAATTGATTTCTCTTACTGTGCCCTTTCAGGTTTAGCCTGCTTGGGTCTATTTTTCTTCAGTCATTAACATGAGTGTTTAGCATGCAAATAGGATGATGTCAGGGTGTAAGCAATATATCTGCCATAAGGAAACCTGTGCTTCTGCTTTAATTCTGAAGTTTACATCTGAAGTTTTTGCAGTTGCTGAAAATGAACTGCTTAAACCTAATTTTCTTTTGGCTTATTGGAAGTCTATACCTGTTCATAACTTTTACCACCTCTTTGAAGCAGGTCTCTTGATGATAGCTCTGTATATTATAGAAATAGGGCTGAATAAACAACTTCTGGAGATGAACATCAAACCAGTTGCCCTGAAAGCCCTTGCTCTCTATCTGTGGCGGTATAACTGGTGCTTTTCTTTGTCAGGCAGTCACAGGGCATCTCTAATCCCATCTCTCTGAACGATGGTTGTGCCCTATTTATCAGTGAAGGCTTGGGGCTGTTAGCCTCCTGCAGCTCTTGTAGATACAGGACTAACTTGGTCGGGAGGCCACACTGGCAGTGTGTTGAGGACGAGATCAAATTTTGACAACCATGTGAATGAAAGGAAGAAGGTTCAGTCCCATGCTGGAGAAAGCAGTCCTGAGCTTATGGTATTGGGAAGACTCAAAGGATTTGCAAAAGATGCAGATGGTAAGATTGACTTAAGAAGCCGTCTTAAACAGTGAACTTTAAGGGCAGAGAGTGGTGTTGAACAGCAGGTAGGGAACAAACTCTGAGAAGTCTTTCATTGCTTCCTTTTTAACTTTTGAAGTTAATAGAGGGAGGTAGAGGCATATGTGTGCCTTGGTAGATACTCGGAGGTAGAGTAATAGAAACTTGGGAAAAGAGAAGCATGCAGAAAGATCTGACAAGTAGAATGTTCTTCCTGAGCAGCAGGAGAAAATGAGCTCAACTCTTACGGGTGCTCAGGTTGTGATGTATTCTGCAGCTCATGTACTAAGCAGCAAATGGGTAACTCTCTACATTCTGTGAAACCCTTTTACAGGTGTGATTCAGTTTAAAGAGAGGGCTCAGCTCATTTACAGCCCATTTCACAGCTTCATTGACCTACTGATTTGTGGTGTCTGTGCTCATCTGGCCTATGTTAAGCAAGCTTAGTTCACCAAACTGGCAGAATACAAAGAGAAGTGTATCAGGTGTGCACTCTGTGCATCTTGGGATTGGTGTGGGGACAATAAGACATGACTGAGTGTACCATACTGTTAAAACAACAGTAAGCTGCTCAGCTAGCTCTGCTGTTTTCTGAAACTTTTGCCCTTAGCAGAAATCCTGTTTTGATACAAGTTAGGTCAATCTTAATTCACTTACAGTGGATGTGTGGTGTCTCATTGATAGCATATTACTAAGCTGATATGAAGTTACTTAATATTTAGATACAACTACTTGAAAATTAGTACTCACAGATTTTAAGTAGTATGTGGTGTGCTGACTTAAAGAATTAAAATGTATTTGTATGTTTTTCCAGTGATACCTCCTGTAACAGGGTGATTAACTTATTCTTCTGAATATAAAGCAAAGGTGCATCTCACTTAGAATTTCACCATGCTGTTATAAGCACCGAGTAGCCTACTTTTCCCTACGTGTAATATAAATTCAGAGTGGTAAATGTGTTATCTGTGGAATAATACAGTGCTATACATAGTGCTGGTTAAAGCATACATTTTCTATTGTAAAATATAATCGGCTGTGAGGGGAGTTTTGTTGTATCCGTGCACTTCTGTTCCTTAGATAGCTATGGCACAGGATCCTACTACAGCTGTTTCAAACTGATTTTTGTCTTGTATCTCTACTTCACAACACACTCCTCTTGCCCTCTCCAGTGAGTCTCTTACATGACTCCAGCCCTATTTACATGCTGTATTTCATGAAGTTGTAGCAACTTCCACTGAAATTTTTGGTTTGAAAGCATACATAGTAAAAAAAGCCACAGCTTTTTTGGATATTTGAAAAAGTTATGTGTTTTGTTCTCTATATACGGACTGTCTGAAAATTTAAGTGGCTAGCCTGCTTCAGTTCAGTGCTTGGTGGCTATTAAATGCAGAACCTTGTTGTTTCCTTAAGGTTGCCAAATTTCCTAAGTCAGTAAGCCAGATTTGTGGTAAATCCACAAATATGAGGTTAACCATTATCTGCATGGAATTTCACATAGCGTTGTGCTCCTAGGTCAGACACAGTATATGGTGTTTGAAAGGACAGACTATTGACCAGGTCAGTAATAGCTTTTCAGATCACTTTCCCTTTTCCATTCAGTATCCAGTCAGAAGCTGCACAGTTATCATGTAATCTCTCAGTACCACAACTTGGTGTTCCTGGAATGTTTTAGGATTAAGAAAATAGACAGGAGGCAGTTTGATAAGTGTTGTGCTCAAGAACATTGCACAGTTAAATAGGTCTTATTTCTGCTTTGTTGCCAGATGAGGGAGCAGTGATCTAACTTGCTCATCTTTTCAAATCTATTTACCTCTGTTCTAGTAATATTATGTCTAAATTGAATGTTATGTTCTCTTTTATTTTATTTATTGTAGAGACAGGGGGACTGAAATGTAAAGCTGGACCTGATAAGGATTTTAAATTCTGGACACTTTAGTTCTCAGCTTTCTGCTTTGCAAGCTGTTATGGGGTATTTCAGCCTGACAGTAAGCTTGCTCATCATCTGAGAATGTTGTATTGCAAGGGTTTTTTGTGTGTTTAAGACTTACCTGGTTCTGTGGTGGGATGTGTCATCAGATCGATGGCTTCATAACCTAGAGCAAATTAATATCAGTTGGGTCCGTTCTTTAACAGTGCAAATATTTCTAAATTAAAAACTTGAGAACTTTTCTGAAGCTGTGAAGATGCGCTTGGTTGTTTGCCTCAAGGAAGACCTTATGACAGTAATAAGAGTTGAAGGGATGTAGTTGAAATAGGGACACAAATACTACATATGACAAATCTCAACACTGGCAGTGCTTGTCTCCTGGAAGGGAGCATGGTTTTGATTTAAGGCAGTTATTCTTAAGCCATACTGCTGTGAATAAAGCTGACTGAAAAATATGATTCAGCTTGTGAAGAAGGTTAAGTTTGTGCTGCACAGACTTACTCAGAGTTGCGGGAAAACAGATGCAAATGCCACTGCCCTCCCTCCGATGTACTTTCTTTTTCTCTCTTTATCTAAAGCAAAGGCATCTTTTGTTTCAAGTGTTTTGAACATAAATGTGGAAATAATAAACTTGTATCCCATAATGTAATACCTGTTTAGCACGAGAGAGACTTAAAGGCTCTTCTATAACTGGAGTGTGTAGGTAAGAAAAAGGTGTTTAGGTAACAACTCGGAATTTAGTATTGTTTAAAATAATGAGTAAAAGTAAATATATGAACCTTTCTTTTACTGGTATAAGCAGTTCAGTGTAAGGTGACTAAAACCTGATGTGGGCTTACTGTGGTTCTTATGTAGAAGCTGTTCTTCTGTGTAGAACTGTCCTGTACACAGAAGTTTAATTTCTTTGTAGAACTACTGTATATTTAAAGACTGATTTACTCTCAACTCTTTACATATTACATAGGTTTAAGAAAATCTACAAAGAAGCGCAGTGAATCACCACCTGCTGAGCTCCCCAGTTTGCGGCGGAGCACACGGCAAAAGACCACGGGCTCCTGTGCTAGCACCAGGTAAAAATTAAGATAATGAAACATGTTTACTGCAGTGGGTTGATATTAATGCCATTTTTGTGCATGAAAATTGGCCTTATCCATCTCTTTGCTATTGGAGAAGGAGCTGTAGCTGTTCAGGCCTGCTGGGTTACTTTGTACACCAGTGTCATGGATAGTGCATAGAATTAGTCACCATCAGACCTTTAATAACCACCTCAGCTGTGGAGGGAAGGAAACACCCAAAGCCAATATTACGAATTAAAGTAATCCTTTCCTTAGGGAAGTGTTGTCTAAAAAGCTACTAAACACAAGAGAGAGTGCTAGACTACTGTCCATCATGAATAATAAAACAGATGACTACTTTGAAAAATAAGACATCATAGCACCACACAGGAATCTGTTTTAATAGTGTACATTGTTGAGCTGACTTAACTTGTCAGCAGCTGCATCTGAACAGTACTACAAATATCTAAGTACTTAATATACCTTCTGATGAAGGAGAAAATTAGTACTGAATGAGTAATTTTAAACAGCCAATAGATTAAATGGGAGGGTAGACTAAATGTGTCCTGTGATGCAAAATTTTGTAGTTGCATATAGTCTGAAGTTAGATTTATGAAGCCTTAACAAGTGTTTTTTCACAACTTCCTTTCCTTCTTCCATGCCATGAAAAAAAAAGCTTCTGAAGTCTGATTCTGTTGTCAAGTGTGCATTTGTATTTGATTGTATACTTTGTAGGCAAACATATTTGTAGTGGTGATGACAGTAGTGTTTAAAAAAGCAAATTTAAGAAGGCTTGTGCCCTCAAACTTGCTCTGGCACTGAAAACCAAGTTGAACATCAGTTTTCTCTGTGCTTTCAGTAGGTCAGAACTTCCTTTAAAGATAGTTACTCTGTCATTGAACTTCTCAAATGTGTACGTGATTTGTAACTAACAGTCACTTTAATCTTGCTCACTTTTACTATTATATTTTAGTAGCCTGCCTTGCCTTGAGGGTATAGTGTAAGGACGTTGTTGTAATGCATTAGTATAAACAAATCACCACCATGGTGCGTGGCAAGAAGGCTAAAGAAGAGTTGGATAATTTTGTGAAGACTTATTCTTATGCAAATCTGTTAGTTTGTGCAACTTTGTGGTAGTGGTCTATGCAAATATTACGTGGTTTTGAGTAGTTTCACATTAATAAATCTCTTGTTCATAAGGTCTGAAACTTTGTTTTTTGAATCTCTAGTCGGCGAGGCTCTGGCCTGGGCAAAAGAGGAGCAGCTGAAGCTCGCCGACAGGAGAAGATGGCTGATCCTGACAACAACCAGGACGGAGTTAACTCTTCAGCTGCGCGTACAGATGAGACTCCCCAGGGAGCTGCAGGTAAGAAGAAATTCCAACTTAAGCATTTATAGTTTACTTGCTGATATAAATTTCTTTGCATTTAAAAATAATTAAATGGATTAATTTCTGGGGAGAAAATATTATTTAAACTGGTACAGCTGGTAAATAATTCTGAAAGGTGTTTGAGTGAGAGGGACCTTTATTTTTGAATCTGATCTCTTGAATATCTGGTACACGTTTCAGTTGTGTTTTTTTTTTTTTTTGTACTCTCCAAACTATGTCCAATAAAGTAGGCTTTAATTTTCAGGCATCTACCTTTTTTTTTTAATGTAACTTCAGCCAATGCTACATAAATTACTGTACTGACAACTGAAAAGACACTGAACTCCTCATAATACAGAAGGTGTGCATTTACCTGTAAAAGCTCTTTTGTAACTACTCATAAATATTCTACAAGTTTTCTGTTGAAATGGAAAGTGTCTATACTGGAGAAATTTCTAACCAAGTTAAATATTCTAGTACTTAATTTTATCATCTGGTCCTAATTAGTAATGAGTTAAAAGGAACTTTCCAGCAATTATGCTGGATTGTAGAAAATCTCAAATATTTCTGCTTGAAGCTAGCTACACCAGTACAAAAAGTCAAAAGTAATGGAAGCTAAGTGCAGCAGAACACTCACTGTCTGAAAAAGGTAATTTGCTGATCTAGCTGCATTTGTTCTTTTGTTTTTGTTGGTTTTCTTGGTTTTTGTTTTTTTTTTTGTTTTGGTTTGGTTTTTTTAATTCATTATCTTGCATTGATACAGGCTCTCTCTCCAGCTTTTGAAAGTATTAGACCTGTAGACTGGTCTATTTAAAATGAAAGAGGTATGATGGCAGCAATGTTTAATACAGAGCACTCTTCTGATGGTGGCCACTTTTCTTGATGGTGGAATTGATGTGAATTTTCTTAGTTTTAAAGACACCTTAACTTGCATTAATCTCTATTTTATTTCTTTAGCTTCTAGTTCTGTTGCTGGAGCTGTAGGTATGACAACCTCTGGAGAAAGTGAGTCAGATGATTCTGAGATGGGAAGACTACAAGGTATAAAAATTGTTATTAATTAACTTGTTGTTGTTATTTGCAGCATATAAATAGCCATACCTACCCAAATTCTGTATTATATGTAGTGGAAAGGCTGTATTTTGTTTCTCTGTCTGTGAATGTGTTGCTTTGCTTACTGTAGTGCTGAAGTATGGAGTTACAAGCTTTCATTCACTAAAGATACAAGAATTTGGAAGTACTGTCTAGAGTGGGTGGCATGGTGTATAATGTACCACTATTGATGATTTTTCAGGGGGAAGTAGGAAGAGAGGCTTGAGAACTCAGTCCTATTAAGTGTGTAAGCTCAAATATGAAAATAAGTCTTTTTGCAAGAATGTCTTCAGTTGACAGGCAAGGTTAGGCCTGCTGTTACTCTGCCTACTTCTGGATAACATTTTTTTAATGTTTTTCATTTACACCCATGTTGCTGTAAGCTTTGAGGAAACAAAATCTAAATGTTCTTAAAATGCTTGCTTTCATGGGTTAAAAGTCTCAAAGCCTGAGAGTACAGACAGGTAGAAACTCAGTTTCCGTGTTCTGCAACTGTTTTAATGATTTGGCGAGGAGTTCCGAGATCATGATCTCCCTTGCAAATGATGGGTTTTGGTTAATCTGGATATTTAATGTGGAAATGAGTGGTGTGTCACTACCAGTTCACTTGCTTATAGTCCTCAGTGAGCATAGGTATGCATTAGGAATGTTGAGCTAAATTGGTTTTTACTGTTAATTGTTATTGTATAGATCAGCAGTATTCATGCTTGCTACAATAATAATCAGAATCACCCACTTAGGCTAGTTTAAGTAAGACTACTGAAAAGTGCTCAAAAAGAAAACCAAAAAACTCCACTAATATCTAGCAGAGTTCTTCCCTCTCCTGCTCATTAACAAATAAGCTGTGAACCTTTTTTAGTGTCATTTTTTTAAGATTAATAGTGCCACTCAGTTCCTGAAAATGTGAAGATGAGCTTAACCTGTTCTATGTAGTTTGAGTTCAGATTCGAAATTACAGTCTGATGGAGCTACTAGTCTAGATCTAGATTTACAACATTTAGTAGACCAGATATCTTCTGTGAAATATATAACTCTGGAAACTCAGTGGGTGACTTCTTAAAGGACCTTAATGCTCTGATGCATACAAAAATGAGTTATTTTTTCCTTAAAGGTTATATTTTTGGTGGTTTTTTGGAAATCGAGGTAGCTGCAGTGAGCTAAATCTAATTCTTCTTTCTTAAAGTATAAAGATTCTAGTAATCTTAAATTATAGCATCATGGAATTTAAGCTTTTAAAAATATGTGTAGAAGCTTTGACAATGGCTGTTATCCTCTGTTTGCTTTTAGCTCTATTAGAGGCTAGGGGTCTTCCTCCTCACCTGTTTGGCCCTCTTGGTCCTCGGATGTCGCAGCTCTTCCACAGGACAATTGGAAGTGGAGCTAGTAAGCAAAGTTTGTCTAATTTGACTTAATTCTTTCCACTTCCAGACTAGTAGAATTCAACCACTAGTAAATAATACTTGTGTTAGCTTCGTAGTTTACTATAATATTTTACCTGTTGGATATTTGTGTCATGCTAGACCACTGGTCAGCAATGTTAATTTGCTTGCCTTCCTATAAGGAAGAGAAATTTGCTTTAGCCATATTTCTTTTCTTTTTTGGGGCATCTGAATGTTCCCTTCTAGGTGGGGAAGGGAGGGTTCTTGCCTTTTCACCCCTTCCTTTTTCTTTTGCATGATGGGCTGCTTAACAAAAGACCTCTCCAACTCCCTTGGTTTTTTTGCTAGCTTTAAACAAATGCTTAAGATAGCTTTAAAACTGTTAGTAGATGTCAGTTCTAAGGCATGTTGTTTATAGTTTCAAAAGTGTCTTGCGTTTCAGAGAGAAAGAATTTCTTTCAGGCAGTGTGTCAGAACATGGGTCCTTAGTGTTGTTCCACCCTGCGTTATGCAGCTGGGTAAGGTGCGTGCTTTCTAGTCCAAGTCTGTTTGGCTTCCCAGGAGGAGCCAAAGGCAGCCTGTTACACTGTCTGCCGAGAAGAGGATGGGGTCTCAAGGGTAGTCCATGTGCTGTATTATCCAGGGGGTGTGCTGAAAAGTCCTGTGCTTTATAAAGGTGGAGTGGTGTGGGTTCTGGCACCTGTGTAGGTTGGCAAGATGGCTATGGTGAGCAGTGTGGTGGACTCCCTGTGCTGACTAGTCTGCACTGGAAAGACAGCCAAGAGTGAGATTTTTTTGCCTCCCTTTCCTATCCACCCCTTTTTATGACAGGGAAAAGAAGTGAAACTACAAATACAGAGGAAAACAAACTCTCTCTGGTCTTCCAATCTGGCAGAAGTATAGCATAACAGTTCCCTTGAACACTTAAGTCTTCTAATATTTTCTTCCCCAATATTTTTTCTGGATATCTAGGTTCAAAAGCCCAACAGCTTTTACAAGGTCTCCAAGCCACAGATGAAAGTCAGCAACTACAGGCAGTGATTGAGATGTGCCAACTGTTGGTCATGGGAAATGAAGAAACATTAGGAGGATTTCCAGTCAAGAGTGTTGTACCAGCTTTGGTAAAGATTAAATCTCGTATTTCTATTGGAGGATATAATATTTCTCTCAGTATCTTGCTTAAATAAATTATTTTAAATTTATAGTGTATGTTCTTAATTTCATATATATGTATGTGTATCTATCTATGTCTCATTATTTAGTTTTGAGGGCATGTTTTGCTAGATTTTGATAGAATCATAGAATGGTTTGGTTTGGAAAGGGCCTTGAAGATCATCTAGCTCCAACCTCCCTGCCATGAGCAGGGACATCTTCCACTAGATCAGGCTGCTCAAAGCCTCATCCAGTCTGGCCTTGAACACTTCCAGGGAGGGGGCATCCACAACTTCCTTGGGCAACCTGTTCCAGTGTCTGACCACCCTCACAGGAAAGAATTTCTTCTTGATATCTAATCTAAATCCAAGCTCTTCTAGTTTGAAGCCATTATTCCTGGTCTTGTTGCTACCTGCCCAAAGTCCTATTAATTCTTTAATAGCACCAGAATAGGTAGTGATTCTTTTGAAACTCTCAACAAAATTCAGAGTCCCGAGTCAAAAGCTACAATACTGATTTGTGGCCTTAATTTAGGTTGGTATCTACCTTTTACTAAAGTAACTATTTGGGTTTTTTTAACAGATAACACTGCTGCAGATGGAGCACAACTTTGACATTGTAAGTGATTTGTAATGTTTAAGAAATTTTTAAAATAGAAAAATGTATCATCTGAACTTAAAACCAAATATCTATATATTTAATAGATGAACCATGCATGCCGGGCCTTAACGTATATGATGGAAGCACTTCCCAGATCATCTGCTGTAGTGGTAGATGCAATTCCTGTCTTCTTGGAAAAGGTAAAATGAAATCAAAACGGTGTTAAGCTAATATGAGGGGATTTTATCTCTTGTTTTAACTTTAGAATATACTGTTAAGATAATGGTTTCCTTCCACAGATTACAAGATCATACATGATGCATGAGAAGCTTTTAAAAACAGATTTAGTCTTTGATCACACCCTTACTGAAAAGTACTATCCGATTCACTGAGAAGTTTTTATCTGATGGGTGTTGCAAGGATACTGTGTTAATTATACAAACCCTTGGAGTAGCTATGTAGCTGATCTAGCCTTAAATTGGCTAGCTTGATTACAGCTAGCAGTGCAGCTGCATTTGTATGTGTCTTAGTACAGGCTAGCTGTCCATGTGTTAATGAAGATTATTATTTTTACAGATTGGTTTAGAAATTAATCTACAACCTTTCTTGTTTTCTTGTAGCTGCAAGTTATTCAGTGCATTGATGTGGCAGAGCAGGCGCTTACAGCCTTAGAGATGTTATCACGCAGGCATAGTAAAGCTATTCTGCAGGCAGTAAGTAAAAAAGAAAGCACTTTTACCTCTACCAGTTCTACATCTTGCTGATCTTCTGTGAAGATGTCACAGAAACTTGTTTTGTTACTTCTTTATCGGTACTGAGAGTGAAAATGTTTGTTTATTTTATTATAGGGTGGGTTGGCAGACTGTTTGCTGTATCTGGAATTCTTCAGTATAAATGCACAGAGGAATGCATTAGCTATTGCTGCCAACTGCTGCCAGAGTATAACACCTGATGAGTTTCACTTTGTGGCAGACTCTTTGCCACTGCTTACGCAAAGGTTAACCCATCAGGTAAGAAGCCATTATAAAATGGAAAGTTTAAATTTAGACCTGAAAGTAGTATTAAGTTGCCTCCAGATATCTAGTTCTTTACTGTGTATTATTTGCCTTTGCAATGTGATAATTGCCTTGAAGTTTCTATACTGTCAAGTTGTGCATATGGACCTTTTGTTTTTTGTAAATGTGCTGTAAGGATTCATTTATTACTTTTTAAAAAGAGATAAATAAGGTACTTTAACTTAGATCATGAATAATAGATCATGAATAATAGTGGGTTTGTAGTCCTTACCCATCAGTAAGAGGAAATCAAGTAGCATTACTTTTCTTTTTTATTAACAAATGAGCTGCAAGGTTCCCTCCCGCTTCAAACTCAAAAGCTTCAGTTTCAATTTTTGTAGTTTTTATCTGATTTGAGTTTTGGGAGGGCTTACAACTTTTTAAAAAGAAAGTTCCTACTCTTGCACAATAGTTTGAAGTGATGAATAAATCATGAAAAAGAAGAAATTGTTTTGTTCCTTAACAAATGCAAATAAATGGAAGCTTCCAGGTAATGTTTTTGTGTATTCTTGTGCTATTCTTAATTTTGGCAACATCTTCTTGCTGAGAGACTACTTGCATCTTTGAGGCAGCTTCACAGAAGTCAAATGTCAGCTTTAGATGGTGCTTTGGAAACAGGAAGCACCATTCTCAGCAGTAGTAGGGACAAGTACTGACTCCTGCTCTTTGAAGAGAAGCTACAGCCCACAAAAGTAAGATTTCAAGAAATTTTGAAGTGGAATTTTTCTGGCAAAAAAAAAAAAAAAAGAGAGAGAGAGAGAGAGAGAGAAAAAGATAGCCCTTAACAGAATAGTTGAAGTTGGAAGGGACCTCTCAACTATCTAGTCCTAAGCCCATGCTCTTGAGCAAGGTCAACTAGAGTAGATTGCCCAGGACCATGTCCAGCTAATTTATTTGTTTATTTAAACTCCAAGGATGGAGACCTGGCCTCTCTGGGCAACCTCTTCCAGTGTTCGACCACCCTTACAGTAAAAGTGTTTATTATGTTCAGATGAACTCTTTTGAGTGTTTCGATGAACTTTTAACTAGAGCTATATTTAGAGCAGTCTTTACTATCTTGGTGTCTTTGGATTTGCTATCTTGGCAGCACTGCATGATATAAAGATCAGGGTCATGTAGTCTGTAGAACAGTAGCATTCACTCCTGCTTATTATCTCTATTTCCTGTTGCTTTGGCTTCGTAGCTCTCTTCCCGTTTGTTTCCTACTTGTAGAATCCAAAAAGGATATTATAGACCCATTTATTCATCTCTAAAGGTCCCTAAAGGTATTTGTGTTGCAAGGGTGAGGTGTTTCCTAGGCAGTATGCCGTATCAGTTTAGACTGTATCAATGAATTTAAAATTCAGAGCTGTAATATTCTGTAAAATGTGATTCGACTGGTCTTTTTGGAGAAATTTTATGAATGCCTCAAAATGACAGGATAATCTAATGCAAGTTATAATATTTTCATTCAAAGAAATGCTTCACTTTTTTATAATAGGACAAAAAATCTGTTGAAAGCACTTGTCTCTGTTTTGCAAGGCTAGTGGACAACTTCCAGCATGAGGAGGTAAGGGTGTGGTTTTTTGGGCATGGATTTTTATTTCCTTCTTCCCTCCCTCAGTTTCTCCTAAGAGCTTACCTTTCAAAGTCAGACTAACTTTTTAATTTTGCTGTTCCCTCCTGAAGAACTTGCTCCAGCAGGTTGCTTCCAAGGACTTGTTGACAAATATCCAGCAACTCTTGGTAGTGACACCTCCTATCCTGAGCTCAGGAATGTTCATCATGGTGGTGCGCATGTTTTCCTTAATGTGCTCCAATTGTCCTACGCTTGCAGTCCAGCTTATGAAGCAAAGTGAGTTCTTGCTCTTTTGTATTCTAGGGGACTTAAGTTAATGCCTACAACCAATACAGAACTCTGTGCACTTGATTATACAAATACTGTGTTCTTTTATTCTTCACCCTCTGACTGTGCTTCTCTTGGGATACAAAGTTTAGTTAATCTTGTTGAAAAGTGTTTTTCCTGAGGGATTTTTCTCCCCTTTCCTGTCCCTAGCTGCTGTCACTGGAGTGCTTGCCTAATTTTGAGTCTGTATTAGCTGCACAAGCTACTCTCATTTCAACAGAAGTTGAAAAATTCTTTTGGTACTCTTTAGCAGGTGGAGGAAACGTGATTTAAAGGCTTTTTCAAAGGGAAAGCTTTAAGAAAAGTAACCACTGTGTAGCTGTCTTAGTTCTCACTTGTTTTTGTCTTAATCTAAAAAATTTTTACTTGTCACTTCAACTGCCCTGTATGTTCCCTTTTTTCCTTCTGTGCCTTGTATATTGAGTGATATTTTGCCCCTAGATGTCCCTTTAAAGAGAGGAAGAAAACACACCCCAAAACCAACCAACCAAAACCCAACACCCACCCCCTGCCCTCCCTCACTCAGCCTGTGAAAAAACGCACAAACCCCAGACCTGAAAACAGATTTCTTACAACATTCAAAGAGGTGGCTTTTGTCTTACTGTCTGTTTGCTTAGGGCAGTGACTGTCTATTCTGTGTAGTGTCTAACACAAAATGGAGTCCATATTCTGATATAGGCAATCTCATAAATAATAATTTTTATAGATATTGCAGAAACGCTTCACTTCCTCCTTTGTGGAGCCTCAAATGGGAGTTGTCAAGAACAAATTGATCTTGTTCCACGAAGTCCTCAAGAACTTTATGAGCTTACTTCTCTCATCTGGTAAGTTATGCAGCACTAGGTTTTTTGGATCTGGTTGATATGTTAAAATCCTTAACTTCTCTAAAATGAAGCATGCAGTTTTCAGCTTAGATGGACTTTATTGAGTACTTCTAGTAAAATACTGTTTTAATGTTCTTTACAGTGAACTGATGCCTTGTCTGCCGAAAGAGGGAATCTTTGCTGTTGATACTATGCTGAAGAAAGGAAATGCGCAAAATACAGATGGTGCAATATGGCAGTGGCGAGATGACAGGGGTCTCTGGCATCCCTATAACAGGATTGATAGTCGAATAATAGAGGTAGTGATTCCACACATTTATGTGGTGATGTTTTTTAAATGTGCATGCGGCTGTATAGGGAAGTGAGTGCTTTCTTTATGGTTTTGAAAATACCAACCTTGTTTCTTCTGAGTAAGAAACACATGAGTTTCCTCAAACCTCCTGTTGCAATATTGCACTGTTTTGGTATTCAGTGATGAGTGAACTGCTTAATCACTGTTTTTACTGTATTTCTGTCAGTCATTGTTTTCCCTTCTGTATTGCCCCTCTCATCTCCTTTCATATAGCTTCCTGTTTGTTATGTGTTTCTTGACTTTAAACTCTTTCTTGTTTTTAGGCGGCTCATCAGGTTGGTGAGGATGAGATAAGCCTGTCTACACTTGGGCGTGTCTATACTATTGATTTTAATTCTATGCAGCAAATAAATGAGGATACTGGAACAGCACGTGCCATTCAGCGAAAACCAAACCCTTTAGCCAATGCAAACACTAGTAAGTACAGCTTAGGAGACACCTGGTGTCTCTAGCTATGACTAGCTTGCTCTAGGTTATACAACAGTGTGTGTGTGTGTATATATATATTTATAGCAAATATATTTACTGGGGTTTCTGTGGAACATTGAACTACTCTGATTTATGTGAATGAAGACAGCTTTACAACAAAACTCAAACTGTTGAAATATATTCTTTTTAACGTAAACTTTTTCCTGAGAACTGAAAATGCATCGAATAGGAGGACAGCTGAGGGTGTTTCGTGGGATTTTCTGAAACAGTTTTGTTTGTATAGCTCTTTCTTAATGAAGACTGTGTGAGGACTTTTTAATATCATACAGAAATATATAAAAAGACTGAAGAAAAAAAATTCTACTCCTTCAAAGAGGAGGATTTGTTCTTAACATTTTTGTTGTCAGCTTAACTTCTGGTTCTTAAATTATATATTTTCAATTCAAGAGCTAACCTAATTCAGCTGTAAAAGTAAAAAAAAAAATAAAAATAATCAGCAGAGATGCAAAGAACTATGCAGTGATTTGTTGCACAATTTCTTACAGGTGGACATTCAGAATTGAAGAAGGATGATGCTCGAGCACAGCTTATGAAAGAGGACCCAGAACTGGCAAAATCCTTTATCAAAACATTGTTTGGTGTTCTTTATGAAGTATATAGTTCTTCAGCTGGACCTGCTGTTAGACACAAGTGCCTTAGAGCAATTCTTAGGATAATTTATTTTGCTGATGCTGAACTTCTGAAGGATGTGCTGAAAAACCATGCTGTTTCAAGGTGGGTTTGTTAACTATTGTGAATGAAACTAATTTTGAGCTTACAACTCAAACTTGTGATTACTTTTTTGAATATTCTTTTTCAGGGGAAAATTGTAGTTTTAAATTCTTAGGTATTTATTTTCCAAAAGCTGAGGCTGCCAGCTCTTCAGGAATTTTTTGCATCTTAGATTTTGCAGTAGGCGCCAAATCTAGGTGTTCTTATTAGAAGCTTAGATTAGCTATATGGCCATGTGTACTGGTAATGTCTAATATTACCCCATACTATTTTCCTGATTTCTAAAACTTGCCTATAAACTTTTCTGAGGGCAAGATGACTTTTGAGGTAATACAATGTGAACAGTAACACTCTCATGGCATTAAACTACTAAGTTCTATTTATGAAATATCTCCTACATGATATACCATAAAGTTAAGGGCCTAGATAAAAGGATACAATTAGAAAATAAACTGACTAGTTTTTCAAAGGCAGTACAAAGTTCCACACACCATGTTCTTTAAAGGAAGAAAACTCTTTTCCTTTATGCCACATATTAAAACTTGGTAAAAATGATTTAGGCAGGAAGAGGACTTTCAGTCCTTTTATTTATAGCTTTTACAAAAGCACAATGAAATTTGCTTGCTTTGTCTCCAATACTGTGTATGCAAGATGAACTGACTTGATTTAAAAAAAAAAAAAAATTATTTTTAAAACAACAAAAAATGAAAAGACAAACCTAATTCTAATGAATTACCTGTTTTAGTCATATTGCCTCCATGCTGTCAAGTCAAGACCTTAAGATAGTAGTTGGAGCCCTGCAGATGGCAGAGATTTTGATGCAAAAGTTGCCTGACATTTTTAGTGTTTACTTCAGAAGAGAAGGTAAATCTTGTTTGTTTGTTTTTTTTCCCTCTTCACCTCCTCATTTAGTACTTTAAAAGTATGTGTCTGTGGAGAATCCATATCCCTTATCCCCGCCCCCAAGCTGTAGAAAGTTCATATTGTTCTTGAATAATAAAGGCAAATCCATGCAAGCTAGTGTCATATGACTGGGGATTTTTTAGTTTCTTTAGCTACTGTTCATGCTGCTGTCATTATTACTATTTTTTAAACTATTTAGGTTTTTTGAGAAAGGATTGAACTGCCTTTAAAACTCGGTATTGATGAATGGGGTGAGCCAATACTGCCATAGTCAAAACAGAGGTTCTAATAACAGACTTCTACCTTCTCAAACACCTTTGTTACTATCCCTCCCAAAAAAACCCCCCCACAACCAAACCAACCCACCAAACAAAGATTTCTTTTGCAAAGGGGTGATGCATCAAGTGAAAAACTTAGCAGAGTCTGAAGCTTTGCTAACGAGCCCACCGAAAGTATGCACGAATGGATCGGGAACACTGGGTACCACTACAACAATAACTACTGGAACAGCCACTGCTGCCAGTAACGCAGCTGCTGATTTGGGCTCTCCCAGCTTACAACACAGCCGGGAGGATTCTTTGGATCTGAGCCCACAGGGGTAAGTGCACTATTTGTTGTGAACAATTAATCTGTGGAGTTTTTTGTGGGGTTTTTTGTTTGCTTGGTTTTTTTGTTGGTGTGTGGTATTTTTGTGGGTTTTTTGTTGCTGTTTTGTGTTGGATTTTTTGTCTTGCCTGACATGGGCTGCTACAGTATCATCTGCACTTTGCTGTGATGTTTTTCTCTAAGGAACTAAAATGGAGTGGTGTTGAAGCTGTCAGTGGGTAGTCTTTGATTCATTTTATATGAAATGTTAAGAAAGAAAAAGACTAGTGACCTGATAGTTATGATGTAATGACATGAAACAATCCATGCTGTTTGGATAGAGGGTGGAGAATGCCAGGAGCAGCAGCTGTGGTCTCATGTAACTCTTGAGGACAGAGTGATTCTTTCAGAGAAATTATAGCTATGGTGCATGGTTCCTTTCTGCTAGAGAAAGAGGTAAAAAGAAGTCATCCTTAAGTTATTTTCTTGGAATGCAACCATGTTGAACACTTCTAGAATTAGTGTCTCTTGTAGGAATATATTATTTGAATGTTACACAGTTTGCCTTTATTTTAAAGGTGAAATGTTTGTCTTAATATATTGACATAATAAGGAAACTCACCTTAAACCAGAATGGAAATATGTAAACTTGGAAGTGTAGGGCCTGGTGAGTAGAAACTCCATAAATGGTTGAAAAAGTGCTTTCTGGGCTTTAGCAGGGAAAGCAAGTCAAATACCCCGTTTCTTTTGGTGTTTAGTCAGTAGATATTTGTGGATATTTTTTCTTTTTAAGTGTATTCAAATAAATGAATAACCAGAGGGTTACACAAATAAAAACATGAAAATTGTGAGAAACCTTTGTTCAGTGGCACTTCTTGGCTGCACATAGTAGAAGGGTGACAGCAAGGAAAACCCCTTCTTTCTGGATGGAGTAATCACTTTGTCCTACCAGCTAAAACAGAGTTGAGACCCCTTCTCCCAGAGCTCATTCTTTGCTTGTGCATTCTTTGTTACGGGATGGAACCTTTTTTTAATTCTTAAGGAAATAACTGGCAGATGCATCTTAAATTGAGAGACAGATGTGTGTATGAATATGGTGGATGGAAACATGTAACTTTATTTCTAAATTTGGACAGACGACTGAGTGATGTTCTAAAGAGAAAAAGACTGCCAAAACGAGGGCCAAGGAGACCAAAATACTCTCCTCCAAGAGATGATGACAAAGTAGACAATCAAGGTAAATCGTTCTTAAAATGTGGTGCTCTTTTTTTCCTTTTAAATTTGAATTAAGCTTATAGGCTGTCAAAAGTGCTAGCTGTAATAAACCTGTTGATTCTCTTAATTTTGTCTTTGTTTCCTCCAGCTAAAAGCCCTACAACTACTCAATCTCCTAAATCTTCCTTCTTGGCAAGTTTAAATCCTAAAACATGGGGAAGATTAAGCACACAGTCCAATAGTAATAATATTGAACCAGCACGAACAGCAGGAGTAAGTGGTCTTGCAAGGGCTGCTTCCAAGGATACCATTTCCAATAACAGGTACACACACACAAAAAATCAAAATACTTCTAATACAGTGTTGACTTTGAGATGCAGCTTTTTTCTTATGGTAAGCCATCAGGCGATTAAGTAGCACCTATCAAATAAGTTAGAGCTTAACCACTGTTAAAATAACTCTGGAAGAAGAATCAAGAAATTAAGGTAGAGAAAATATCCTCTTAATAGTTTAAAGTAGCATGCTGGGGAAAAAATGGAGAATTGGGAAAAATGATGCAAGAAGTAATCTGTAGAGAGTAGGCCTTTACTGTATTGGAGTAAGAGAGAAGAGTGTTTTGTCTGTGACTGTTAGACATGGGAAAAATTATACTCTGACTGTGTTTACTTGTAATATTGGAGAATGCAATTGCTAAGTGTGACCAAATGCCTTTTGTGTGCTTCTTTACAGAGAAAAAATTAAGGGCTGGATTAAGGAGCAAGCCCATAAATTCGTAGAACGTTATTTTAGTTCTGAAAACATGGATGGAAGCAATCCTGCACTAAATGTATTACAGAGACTTTGCACTGCAACAGAACAACTCAACCTCCAGGTTAGAAATACCAAATTTACTTGAAATAGGATGGGGATGGAAGCAGTAGAAATACTTAAGAGGAAGCTAGAGGAAAGCTGACCATTTTAGACAGTATGGTTAATATTTTAAGCATAGTTTTTGTTATCTTAAATTATGATAGTGTTTCTGAACTTGCAATGGTTTGCTTGGGATTTTTTTTAGAATTAGTCTATAATCTCTGACACATATCACTTATATATAATTTATGATAAATGACTGCTATTAACAAGAGTATTCTTAATTCCTAGCAATGTGTCACTTAGCATTTTATTTCAGATTTTAAAATTATACAATTAAGCGTTAGGGATTGACTTTGTAGCTAATTAACAACACAGTTTTAATAAGAACATTGGTTGTGGAAGGAGGATGAGAGAGAAGTAGTATTTTGCTGAAAGGATAGAAGAAATACAGATTGGGCTGAATCTACTAGCATCTCAAGAACTTGAACCTTCTTTCTCAGGCAGTTTTGATCCTTGATACATAGTTACAGTCTAAACCTGTAACTTCTAAGGTAGCTAAATAGCTGAGTTATATTCTCTACTTCGATCTGAGCAATCATTAAAATATGAAACTTTCCCTCCTCTCTCTCACACAGATATCATGTAAAATATATACCAATCTGAGCTGTGGTTTTTGAGTGCTTTTTTTTTTTTTTAACTACTGTTTGGAGCTTATCTTCACATTTCATGAGACAGAAATGGTACCTTGCTTTCTCTTAAAATGAGAAAAATGTAGATGTTGCCTTTAATGTTGCCTCTTGAATAGCAAGATTGTTTATCCGCAGCTTATTTGCACTGTCACTGTTTGTATTGAGTTACTACACTCCAGACTTTCCCACTTTTCCCCTCCATTTACAGCTGTTCAGTGCAGTAGGAGGAAAACTAGTATTTCTTAAGCCCTTGATACCTGGGTAGTAAATAGTACCTTTGTATTTTTTCAGGTGGATGGTGGAACAGAGTGCCTTGTAGAAATCCGTAGCATTGTCTCGGAGTCTGACGTCTCCTCATTTGAAATCCAGCATAGTGGGTTTGTTAAACAACTGCTGCTTTATTTGACATCTAAAAGTGAGAAAGATGCTGTAAGCAGGGATATCAGATTGAAAAGATTTCTTCATGTATTTTTTTCTTCTCCAGTAAGTTTTTTTTATTTATTTTTTTGTCCTTCTTAGTTATCTTTCTTTAAAATTGGACTTATCTGACCATCTGAGAGGTTAACTTTGACTTAAAGATGGAAGGAATGTTTTGTTTATGCCTAAGTGGTATAACACTACAACTTTCATGTGGTTCTATGTCTTTACAGGTCATAAACTTTTTAGAATGCCCTGTAATTACAGAAAACCCCACACAACAGTGGAAAAAAAATTACAAAATGGCCAACTATCTAAGTTGTGAACAACTTAAAAGTTGTTCTTGACTTCTAGGAAATTGATATGGAAAGAGTTTGGATAGTAATCTTATCGCTTGCTCTCTTTAGTTCTAAATACTGCAAGAGAGTAGATTGTCCTATTTTTAAAGGAAGAAATTTAAAGTGGAAGAGAGGAAAGCAGATAACTACAGTTTCCATGAAACTTACTGTTATGGTTAAGCATCAGTGCTTAAAATCTACAGGCATATTCAACTGATACCAGAGAGAAAACTGCATTCTTCAAAACAGATCTTTCATTAACTTGTGTCATCTAGTCATTCTGATACTGCTGCTACTTTAAGTGAGAGCAGTGATTTTTAACTTCCAGTTGGGGGTGAGTGGTGGTTGTTGTTTTGGTTGTTTTCATTTTTTTAAACAACTTGTGGTATAAATTAAGATGGATTAATTGAAGCACATAACTAAAAGAATGGAATATATTTCAGCTTCCTGGAGAAGAACCCCTTGGAAGATTAGAGCCATTAGAAAATGCACCTTTGTTGGCATTAGTCCATAAAATGAACAATTGCCTCAGTCAGATGGAACAGTTTCCTGTCAAAGTGCATGACTTTCCTAGTGGAAATGGAACAGGGAGCAGGTAAGGATTGATGCTCAGGTAACAGGTTTTGTTGGAAACAGTTTTGTTTTTTTTCCAAAATTTGTTTCAATGCTAAAAGTTCCAAGAGGTAATGGAAACTTCTGGCCCTATTAAAGTTAAAAGCAATTACACAGATGGCTTTTTTATGCAGTGGAAGATTGACTATTTAACCAAATGTTTGCTTACAGACTTTTAGCTTCTCTTACTTAGATTGAGAATGGATGTGCAATCTCTAAATTTAAGCTTTAAAAATTTGTGTCTTCCTTGTCTCCAGGTAACAAACACTAGAAAGAAATAATGTTTATTCCTGAGACACTGATGTTTTTAGTGAAGTAATTAAACTGCTGATAGTTTGTATTACAATGCTAAATGTTATTCAGATAGATTGTTCTCTAGGCTGATAATGGATTTAACCTGTTGGCTGTCAATGTAGTTTAAAATAACTGTAGATCTGCCCTGTGTCTTAGATTCCAAATTTGGAATCTATCTTAACTTGCATTTTAAGTCACAAATATGAGTGACTGGAGAACTATTTCTACAATTTCTTTTCTCTACTTTTCTTTAGTAAATCAACAGTGTTTTTAATTCAGTGTATAGTAGTTAGTCTGTTTTGGTATAAGTTGCATATGAGTTTTTGAAAGCGTTTTGTGGTGCTGACTAAAAGCTCAATTTGATTAGACATATTCTTGTGACTATGTAGAAGTTAGGAAGGGAGGAGCATTGAAAATGAATTTTTGAAAACTATTCTTTAAAGTTTGAAATGCCAAAATCTCCTGTCTCTCAGGTGATAAGGTAGTGTGGATTTTTTTTATCACTAATTGTGACCCAACATCCATTATAGTAGACGTATTAGAACCTCACACTATAGCATTAAGTCTAAGTTACATTAAAATTCAGTACTTGTGTTTTGTGAAACTGGTTAAAATCCATGTGAATTAATGCAATACACAGATTTCGAATACTTGGAGGAATTGATTGTCTTGTTACTGGCTTTTGCAAATAGTATGTGCTCTGTAATCTTACAGTGATTACTAATATGCACTATTTCTGTAAAAAGTGGGATAACTACAGAAGTTATAAAGCTGTTAAACATAAAAGCAAAATTACACTGTTCTTGATAGAAGATTAAAGGTGGAAAGCCAGACTACTGCAGCATTGTTTGTCTGCTAGTATTACTGTGGATTATGTCAATGAGGTTTTTGAGGCATTAAGATTTAGTAGTCTTTCACTGGCACCTGGAAATTGAAGCAGGCCAAGGCAAGAGATTTGTATATAAAAACAGCTACCTTGAATAATGATAGATTGTTGAGGTGGAACATATATATAAGCTATACTTGGCAAGAAAAAACAGAGGAGCTTTCAGGTTGTCTATTTAGGTCCTTATCAAAAACCGTATGAACAGATACTTACGTCTTCCACCCCCAATTTTGATCCTTATTGCGCTGCAGGTAAACACAGCTCTAAATCTCATGTGGCATCAGCTGACCACTGAACAACTTCATACCTCAAAGATGGTCAGTATAGGCCATATGGTAATCAGATCTGACTGGACTTTCACTTAATCTATGTAGCTTGCATTGGAAATAAAATTTTGTCCAACTTGGATTCTGGTGTTCTTGTAGCATAAAATTTTTAATCTGTTTATCCAAATCTTAATAGTTTATTTTTAGAGAAACGGGCTGAGAAATAACACCCTGAACAAGTAAATTCATAAATGCATGTATAAGCCTGTTCTAATGCATTTTTGATGCAATTATGGTAATTAGATTATTTGTTTAGCAACTTTTTTCACAAATTATTTTGAGTTTTTCTCTTAACAGAGGATCCCAAGCTTTAAAATTCTTCAATACACATCAATTAAAATGCCAACTGCAAAGACATCCAGACTGTGCTAATGTGAAACAGTGGAAAGGTGGACCTGTGAAGATTGATCCTCTGGCTTTGGTACAAGCCATTGAAAGATACCTTGTGGTTAGAGGTACACATATATATGCACACATATATTTTACAATCACATGTGTTTTGCTTCTTGGAATAGTCATTACTGTCGGTAGTTTTAAGAGTCTGTGGAAAAAACTGTGAGGATTATACTGAAGAGACATTTTTAGGTACCTCCCATTTATCTTCCTCATGGGGGAGGAGACCAAGGCTGCAGAGAATCTTCTCTTTTTCTGGGCCAAGCTTCTTCCTGTTGCAAACAGTTCAGTCTAATACTAACAGAAGTATAATCTAGTTGACTGTCAGATTGTCTGTAATTTGACATTTTTGATGCTACTTGTCAAGACTGAAATTTGTTCTAATATGTCTGAACTTCACTTTTTTAAAATTATGTATTTTGGAACTGTTTTAAACAGTGGAGTTAAAATCAGTGCAAAAGCATTGCTATGTCTTGTGTAAAAACAAACGAGAATGTCTTTCTCATCTCTTGCCTCAGGCTATGGAAGAGTTAGAGAAGATGATGAGGATAGTGATGATGATGGGTCAGATGAAGAAATAGATGAATCTTTGGTAAGCTTTTGCTCTTAGGGTAAGGGGAGGGAACAGTGTGGGGAGAGGCATAAAGAAAGCTAGCAACAAGTTTCCTAACTTCTGTGTTTTTTTTGTTTTGTTTTGTTCAGGCTGCTCAATTCTTAAATTCAGGGAACGTGAGACATAGACTGCAATTTTATATTGGAGATCACTTGCTGCCATATAATATGACTGTGTATCAAGCAGTTAGGCAGTACAGTTTGCAAGCTGAGGAGGAGAGGGAGTCTACAGATGATGAAAGCAACCCATTAGGAAGAGCTGGGATTTGGACAAAAACACATACCATTTGGTAAGTTGGCTAGAGAAATCAGGGAATAACTTCTCCAGTTTCCTAGATGTATATACATAATGAAAATTAGAATATAACTGTCCTTTTTTTTTTTTTTTTTTTTTTCTCCCCCTCTGTCCAAAGCTGTGAAGCTTTAATTTTCCTGATGTGCTTGAGATACTTAAATCTTAGTAAGAATTCATTGTTACCTACTGACATTTTCTAGCTCATAAGAGAAGCTGATGAACAAGATATGAGGAATCTTAAATGACACCTGTTAGGTGGAGGGGAATCATTCTTAGTGTTGGGTAACTAACCACAAACAACAGAGAATGTGTCTGTGGTCTACAGATAATGGTCAACTTCATACCGATTTTCAAAATTAACTGCTGTTCAGGTATATGTATTCTCTGGCCATACTTTGCAAGGAGCAGCGTTGACCTACAACTGTGCCAAACACTTTAACATTCAGCAGTGTCTTTTCCTTTCTATTATTTAAATGTTATGCAAATAAACCAACCAACCAAACTCACCACAAAAAAACCCGAACGTGACAAAAAACCCACTTTGTTTTTTGTCTATAGCTTCTGTGCCTCTTATTCCAGTTCCTGGAGCCAAAAGGTCCCATTTCTTTCCTCTCCCATGACAAACTTTCCTTCTGAGGGACTAGTTTCAAAGACTGGATCATATCCAAATGCAATGTTTTTGTCTTTCTGCTTTTCACTGTCATTCAAAAAAAATTCTGCTAATCAAACAACTAACACTTTTATGACTGCTTTTGTTTCCATGTAAGTTAGTATTTCATAAACATGTTTTTAACTTTTAATTACTTTTTAGGTACAAACCTGTGCGAGAGGATGAAGATGGTAATAAGGACTGTGTTGGTGGTAAAAGAGGAAGAGCGCAAACTGCTCCCACGAAAACCTCCCCTAGAAATTCTAAAAAGCATGATGAATTGTGGCATGGTGAGTATGTTACCTTGCTAATATAGATGAGTGAAATTTCTGGAAGAATGGAGAGGAAGAGTATTTGGAGACATACTGTTTTTTTTAAAGCAAGCATAGTATAAGAAAAGTAAGCATATATTAACATGTGTATTAAAACTAAAAGCAAGATACTTACTGAATTGTCTAACTAAACTGTTGTAAAGTGAATGCCGTGACTAATACTAGCTAGGCTCTTAATAATTAAATCTTGGGAAGACTTCTAGTTGATTTGTTTTGATAAAATATTCTTTTTTTCCTGCTAGATGGTGTATGTCCTTCGGTGTTAAATCCTCTAGAAGTTTACCTCGTATCTACTCCACCTGAAAACATAACATTTGAAGATCCCTCATTAGACGTTATTCTTCTTTTGAGAGTTTTACATGCTATCAGTCGATACTGGTATTACTTGTATGATGTGAGTAGAGCACTTTTAAAATTACTTTTGTACTTGTTTCAGGACAGAGTTGTCTGTATCAACTTAAAATAGCTTTCTTACCCTGTCTGCTGCCCCTTACCAAGACAGAATAATGCAAATACTATCATCTTCCCCTGCCTGTTTCTCTAACTTCTGGTAAGATGAAGACTACAAATTCTTAGTCAATGACGTTTCCTCTATAGTGCGTTAAACGCATTTTCTATGCTTTTTCCTTCCTGAAGTTTAAAGAGCAACATTTCCTGAAAAGAAAATGAATTGTAAAAACCTACTCAGCTTTTCTTTCATGGCTTAGTCTCTGTATGACCAAAGTGACAACTAAAAGTTTATTCTTGTGATGATAAGCAAATTGCAAGCATAAAAAAACCTTTTAACAAAGGCTTGGTATTTCTTCAACCATTTCTTTAACTAGAAGTACATTGTTTTTATTTAACACAGAATGCAATCTGCAAGGAGATAATTCCAACCTCAGAGTTTATCAACAGTAAACTGACAGCAAAAGCAAACAGGCAGCTTCAGGATCCTTTGGTAATTATGACAGGAAACATACCAACTTGGCTGACAGAACTTGGAAAAACATGGTATGAATGACTTACTGTATAGTATTTCTAATCTGAGTTCAGTAGGCCTCTTGGCTGGGCAGCCCAGGTGCATTATATATACAAAGCTTTTGAAAGTGCTAGTGGAGAGTAAAATGTAGTCACAGGAGTCTTGCTAAGATACATAGTGACACTTGGATGAATGTTTGCACCTGTATTGCATAGTTTAAATCAAATATGGAGGGATAGACTGGCTGCAAACTTTGGACCACTTCTTACAGGAGTTCCTGAGCAATTTGAAATTTTCTTATTTAAACAGTAGTGTACTTGATTATCCAGGTATGCCCTGTTAATCTGCTTAATGGCATTTTTGTCATACCACTACATTTATCTTGGCATATTCAATATGGTACAAAGGAAAATACTTTTATAATTTCTGATAAGATATTATAAATCATTTTTATAAAGATATATTCATAGTAGGTGCAGTGTCTTGATACAGAGTATAAACTGTTAAACTTCTGCACTTGAAAGAATGAGAAATAAGAGTTGATATTCTAGGATTTTTCCAGCATGGTAATTGAAGCAGCATTGGTGACAATTGACTGGAAGTATGTATTCTAGAGAAACGCTTTGTTTTTTAATTTTTAAAATAAGATCTCTAAATTTCTTCATAAACATTCCAGATGATAAATGATAAGTATGAATGTGTATTCTTGCACAAACATCTGTAGCAGTATTTTTTCCATAAAACTGCCTTTCCACTTAAATGTCAGGGGGCGACTTCACTGTTAATGTAGTACAGATGCCTTTGAGAATAGTAGAATTGAAATTAAAAGAATAATTTTCTCTGATAGTCTTTCACAGATTATTTAAGATATTTTTTGAAAATAGTGGAAGGTAGAATGCTGGTGTTGCTGTAGGCAGGGTCTCAACTTCCCCTCCCCCCCCCTAAAAAAAAAAAAAAAAAATGGGAGCTTGAACCAAGTTCTTAAAAATCTTTGCTCTAACTTAGATTTACTAAATGTAAATCAGGTGTAAACAAATAAAATAATATTTATTTTCAGATACAAAATTTGTATAGCTAAGGCTTTAAATTATTTTGAGTTATTTTCCTGGAAGACTTAGAAGTTTCTAGAATTTTTTGTGGTGGTTTCTTATATAAAATTGCATCTCTAGACTCTTACTCATAAGCATTGGAACTAAAACTGAAGTGTGTTCTGGAAGGCTTCCTTTGAAGGCTGTTTTCACTGCAGTGTTTAATAAAGCACTAATTTCAGGCATACTACATTTCTATTGTATTTTAAACTAAACTGTAGTCATAGATGCCAGTTGAAACCCAGCTAACTAATCCAATGCTCTTTTACAGCCCATTTTTCTTTCCATTTGATACCCGCCAAATGCTGTTTTATGTAACTGCTTTTGATCGTGATCGAGCCATGCAAAGACTACTGGATACTAATCCAGAAATCAATCAGTCGGATTCTCAGGATAGCAGAGTGGCACCACGACTGGACAGGAAAAAAGTAGGTATATCTTGTTTAAAAATGGAGTGAATTATCTGTTTATTTGTATACTATCTTTAAGAATATCATTGAGCAAGATTTTTTTTTTTTTTTGTAAGACTTCAAATTTTGGTAGTATATTGATGAAAGGGAGGTTTTATTTTTATTCACTTAAAAGCCACCTAGAAAAACCACAGTGTCTTCTAGGTGTCTGCCACTAGGTGTCAGGAGGGACCGGAGTATGCCACACTGCTTCCTCACCTCCTGCTTCATTTTGACTTGGAGTCTTTACATAATTTCAGAAACTATACTCCAAGAATGAACTTTATTTTTTAATTTACCTTAGTGATATTTAAATATATTAGTTTGTAAACATATTTTTTCTTTATGTAGAATTTCAAGCAATAGAATTTTGACCCTTAAATGTTACCTGAATAAACAAAAACATTGTCCTTGTATTCTGGGAGAGTATTAAACTTCCTGTCACAACATATAAAACTGAACTGTGACTGTTTTAAATTGAGGGAGTCTGCCTGGAGTCTGGAGAGATGTTGTCTTAAACTAAGATCTGCTGTGCAGTATAGATCTGCTATATGATCTTGAATGTCTCTGGGGAAAAAAGGCAAGAGACATGAGAATCTAGTTCAACTAGAATATAGCTTCCAACATGTAGGAATTCCAGTGCTGTTGTGTTGTGGGTTTCTTTGTTGAGTGTTTATTTTCTTTTTTGAACCCTGCCACTTTCCATACTAGAGAATCTGCAAGGGCAGGGTATAAGATTATTCTTTTAGGTTGCTGGATTTTGGCATCTTTATTATCTGTTTTTTTCTTCACATATTAGTTTGAGATATGTAACATCGCATGACAACACTTCTCTATGTTATAGTCCTACTGCCGGATTCTTGGTGAGGGTAATACCTGTTAGTTATAATGATACAAAAGTAAGGCACTGGGTTTTTATTATATATTGAACACTTCCAATTCTAGTCAGTTTTCATATAGAAGCAAGAATTATTTTATCAGAATATAAGCTAACAAATTGTTAAACTGTGGAGCTATTAGTATGGGGTGGAAAAACTTGTATAACTAACTTTTTTCCTGTTGTAACTGCCTTGGGAGCTGGGACTTACAGATATAATTTCACTACTTAAAACTTCTCTAATGTGTAGCGCACTGTGAACAGAGATGAGCTGTTGAAACAGGCAGAATCTGTGATGCAGGATCTAGGCAGTTCAAGAGCCATGTTGGAAATCCAGTATGAGAATGAAGTAAGTAATATCAATGCAGTCTAATTTAACCCTTTTTTTACTGAAGATTAATACAAAAAAGCTACAACTTTCATAGAATAACTTGGTCAGACTCTTGGTTCTTACCATTGCTGGTGCCACAAGACTTTATTAATTATTCCTGATCTACTTAGCTGTGATTTTTAGTTGCTGGGAGAAAATGTTTCTGTTCTACTAAATTTCATAATCAGTCTTATTCTGCAGAGCACACTCTTTTTCCTAACTCTAAGAAAACAGCTGTGTGTGTTTCATCTATAATATGTTCATTAGATGGTTAATACTTTTATACCACTGATATTCCCTCTGATATGTGGTCTTTCCAAGCTGTCTCAGTCATTGTAAATGTTGGCCTCGTTATGTTCTCTAGATGCTTGTTGTAATGCAGTCTTCTTTATAGTCAATAACGTATTACTCAGGTTAAGTAAAGATTCAGACTGACCTAATGGACCATCTATGTATCTGTCTTGCTCCCCTTCCTCTCCCTGCACCCACCCTCCCTCTGAAGGTTGGCACAGGCCTAGGCCCCACGCTAGAGTTCTATGCACTTGTATCTCAGGAACTACAGAGAGCAGACTTAGGCCTTTGGAGGGGAGAAGAAGTGACTCTAGCCAATCCAAAAGGTAAATGTTTTACTACCTAAACTATCAATACTGATCTAATATTAAATTGATTCTAACTTGACTTTAATTATGTGAATGGCTTTGATTGAAAGAACACCTCAGTTTGTGGTCAGATAATGCGCCTCATGATAGTGTGTGATTATGGGGGGGTTTTTTGTGTGTTTTGGGTTTTTAATTTTATAAGAAGTTTTAGGTTGTAGTTATCTGGTAGCTGCTTTCAGGCTTGCATCTGGAATGAAACTAGCAGTGTATGTATTGAATTTTTTTTTTTTTTTTTTCTTCAACAGGAAGCCAGGAAGGTACCAAGTACATCCATAACCTTCAAGGCCTTTTTGCACTTCCTTTTGGTAGGACAGCCAAGCCAGCTCACATTGCAAAAGTTAAAATGAAGTTCCGCTTTCTGGGAAAACTAATGGCCAAGGCAATCATGGATTTTAGGCTGGTGAGAATAAAATGGAAAATATAATCCTGAAGGATTAAATGAAAATTCTAGTTCTGAATGTGCTGGAGAAAAGTAGCATTAAGAGTTGCATGGAATTATTTTCAGTTCTGGCAGTTTGGGCAAAGTGTGGGGAGATGCAGCTGAACTTTTTAGGAGAAAAGGGTAGTGTATGTTGGAGATCTTTACAGTAGCTTTTGAGACCATAGTGGAAAAAAGGAAAAGTCATTGCCTGCCATGTGTTGCAATCTCTCTTCAGACTTCTTTCAAGGTCTTTTTTGGATTATTATTATTCCAGCTGCTGGCTTGCTGATTGTTCTAATGTATATACACTAGGCAGTGAGTTGTGGTTTTTTGACTGTAAATTTATGAGGTAAAAACACTCAAATGTGGTGTTCTAGTGTGTGCCAGAACTATGAATTAGTAAATAATATTCTAGATCTAGTCAAGAGTTAAGATAGGAAAAGATATATTTTTGGAAGACAGTTCAATACTAAAAAAAGTTTTGATTTCCAGGTGGACCTTCCTCTTGGACTTCCTTTTTATAAATGGATGTTACGACAGGAAACTTCCCTGACGTCACATGACTTGTTCAGTATTGATCCAGTAGTAGCCAAATCAATATATCACCTTGAAGATATTGTAAGACAAAAGAAAAGACTTGAACAGGACAAAACACAGGTGGGAAAGTAACCCTAAGAATGCAAGAGTGCATCTTCAGGTGTTTGGGTTTTATGAAGTAGCCATAATTGAGTGTATGATAGTGCTTAATACTGATGGTAATAGTCACAGTGACTTCATTCTAATAGAAGGAGTAGTTTCAATATTATTAAATAATTGGGTAGTAATTATAGCACAGTCTTTTTGTAACATAGACTCTAACAGTAGAATTTTATTATGAGATTCTTCTGTGTGATTAAAAGGCTAGAAATGGCTAAAACTGCTAGATATTTGCATAAAGGTGACTTTTCTTTTTGTTTCACTTTAGAAAGACTAACCAACTTTGATATCAAAGGGGGGAAAAAAAAATCTATCCTTCATCCTTTGAACATGCAAAAGGCTTGGCTTTTTTTTATTACTTGGTTTAGTAAAATTTTCAGGTTTTCTTAGGAATGCGTTTTGTGGGTTTTTTCTTCCCCCACTGAAAGCTGTATGCAGAACTGATGTAAACTGGCTTCATATGTAAACATACAGGTTCTTCTATAGATACAGAAGAGTCTTAAGTTTTCAAGGTCATCCACTCAGCTAAAAATAGCATCATTCACTGTTGTAGAATATTGATAAAAGGTCTTTGGCATGCATGCTTTTTCTAGCAGCCAATGTTAATAGATGGTAGGTGGTAATAACCTAATTTATACTCTTAATACATCTGCTTTGTTACTAGTGAAGTTATTGCAAGCTTGTGGGCCTTTGTTCCTCTTCACATCACTGTCTCACTCTCTCTCCTTGATCACCGCTTTTAATTTCCCAACAAGAGTTTGAAAAACCTGAAACCTGGTGGATGAAAGCAGAAAAATGTCAGTATGCATGCCAAATGTGAATGCCATTAACTATTCTAAGGAAAAAACATAGCCTGAGAGCCTTAGTATATTACACATCTTCTCTTGCAATAGTGTTTTACAAATAAATAGTATACAAGAAGTTAAAGTAATTCCAAAATCCCTAGAAAAAAGTGTGCTCTTACGATCTTTCAAGTTTACCCATTAAGATAGTTTGTTTGGTTTGTCTTGGTTTACTGTTATGTATGAAAGATATAGAAGGAAAACAAGGAGTACTGTAACAGTATCAATAGTAATGTTCTTATAGAAATGCTTACTTAGTCAAAACTGCTTTAGAAGTCATAACTTTTGGATAAGTTAATGTGAATCTCACTGGTTTTCACTTCCAATTTTTTTAGACCAAAGAAAGTCTACAGTATGCATTGGAGGCTCTGACTATGAATGGCTGCTCTGTGGAAGATCTAGGGCTGGACTTCACACTTCCTGGGTTTCCTAATATAGAACTGAAAAAAGGGGGAAAAGATACACCAGTCACCATCCACAATTTAGAGGAGTATCTCAGAGTATGTAAAAGCAAAGCTAGGACTAAAACTTTCTTTATTCTTCCTCACCTTACTCCCAAGTAGTTTGTTTCCATGTATATTTTAAGTAATTCTCATGAACTGGGCACAGCAATAACTTTTCCTACTAATTGTTTCTATTCTGTACTTGTTTATTTCTACAGGAAAACTATTTGAATCGTAGTCAGTGCACCTGACTTGAAAATTTTATAGTACAAGAAAGTCTGGTTTATACATAATGAGGTCATCAGAGATATGGGGCTGTGGTTTTTTGGGGTTTTTTTGATAAAGTGTTGTAGTAATTGGAGTGATTTGAGATGAGGACTTCAAGAATCTTTTAACATGTTCCTACACTTAAGCATGATAATTAATTTGTTTGCAGTAGGGATTTAGCACCCACACTTCAGTGGGCTTTGAACTGCTATAATAATAGTGAAATTTTTTGAAGTCTGACTTAAGAAAACATCAGCTCAGTTGCGTGTTCAAAACCCAAAAAATGACAAAACCAAAACCAAACACACAAACAAAACCCCAAATCGTAAAATAATAGGTAAGGAACAGAAAAGGAAACAGTGCCATAAGTAGTACACCTGCATATTGTGATTTATTCCTATGTCAGAAGGGACATAAAAATCTAGAAAAACAGAAGGGTGATACTGCTGAACAAAGGTAGGAAACTGTTTCTGCATAAGAAAGCGTTAAAGGGAATAGGTTAAAAACAGCATGGAAAAGAGATAAGGAAAGGAAGAGAGAATGCCATATCATTACATGAAGTCCTGAGTGGGATGGAGGTAAGAGTGATTGCATCATGAAAAAGCCAGTATTCCAATTCCAAAATAATGTGTTCTGACAGGTTAGTCTGCTGCCAATTTCACTCTGAGGACCTAAGATTTTCAAGCACTGATAAGAAACATATGTGTTGTTTTGGTAATGATTCAGTAAGGGGCATATGAGATCCTGGATATCAACTGAGAACTTAGCAAAGTTTTATTCCATAATCCTTACAACTGAATATTGAGCAGTTGATGTTTATCTTCCATATTCAAGCTGTTATGCACATATCCAGTTCTCGTATCTTTATTTGTTGAAAGCAAGTTCTGCTATTCTAGAATCACTTATCAAATTAAACATATTTGGATATAAAGCTGTTAGCAGACTTACAGATTGGCAATGCCAACAACCATAGTTTTTTAGAAACAGCATTTGCAGTCTCTGTTTACTGAGGAAAGCTGAGCAAGGTTGCTTTCAAGTCTGTTTTTTATATGGTTTGCAGTCAGGTTTTTTCCTTCTAGTTAAAGTATATTGGGTATCTGATATATTGAGAAAGTGTTGCATACATCTTGGATGTCCTGTAGTTGTCCTGCTGCAGGCCTGTGGCATTGTAAATGAAAAGCAGATCACTAAAGGAAGCTTGCTCTCTGCTTCTTTCTAAACAACTTCTGGGATCATTTTCTTTAAGACACCTGTGCAGTTTTTGTCCTTGTCTTTATATTCCTGCCTTATAGAGGAGACTTTGAACTAGATCCCAGTAATTAGCATTACAGACTTATGTCAAGGAAATGGAAAAGATTTTGGAGAGCAGTGCCCTCTGTATCACAAGTATGATGAATTGCAATTTAGAAACAGTATATTTAATTTATCAGCTAGGCTGTACAGCTTCCTGTGGGTTGGCTACCCTGCTCTTAAAGATGTTTTCATTAAAATCTTCTGTGGATTACCATTAAAAGTAGTTTATAAAGCTAGAATATATCCTACTATTACTTTGCATGCCCCTCCTGCACTCATGTCATTCCACCTTCTACCTCCCTTTTTTCCTGTGGTAATTGTCCTTGGGGGAGCTACCTTTAGCATAAAGTGGAACTATTTCAGCTGCCAGTATAGTGAAAGACTTTCTTCTTTTTTTTTCTTTTTTTTTTTTCTTCCTTCTCCCTCCACATGCCCCCCTCCTCCTGAGCTTGTCTCTCTTGTACTATAAAGAAAGACGTCAGCTTGCTTGTTCTAGATTTGTGGACAAAAAGGTACCAGCATGCAGTTTTTTGCCTAACAATTTCACAGAATCACAGAATGTTAGGGATTGGAAGGGACCTCGAAAGATCATCTAGTCCAACCCCCCTGCCGGGGCAGGAACCTAAGTGAGATCACACAGGAAAGGCGTCCAGGGGGTTTTGAATGTCTCCAGAGAAGGAGACTCCACAACCTCCCTGGGCAGCCTGTCCCAGTGCTCTCACCTTCACTGTAAAGAAGTTTCTTCTCAAGTTGAAGTGGAACCTCCTGTGTTCCAGCTTGCACTGATTTGATCTCTTTGAATCTACAAGAATACAGTGCAGCTTGGTTTTTGCCAGACACTCCTAGTCATAAAAAATAGTCACAATTCTAAGTCAGCAACTCTGCTGCTAGAATGGCCATAGAGTATTCTACGTTACAGAATGCAGTAGAACAACCTTCTGTGCTGGTGGTGCTCATCACCTTGCTCTTCAGTATTACAACCTGACGTGTGAAAGTAGGGGTATGTATCTTGCCTGAAATTCAATGCCTGACTTGTAGGAGAGATTATCAACTGATTCTAAAAGGCTTTCATATCTGAGAGTTTTCTGGAACAGGTAACTCTTCAATTATTGGGACAGGGTTAAATACTTGCTTCAGGAGTCCAGCAGTATCAATGAGGTTTTTAATCATATTCAGATGCATCCCTAAATGTCTTTCAAAGCTTTTATCAGCATTCCAGGTCAGAGCTTTAAACCCATTTAAAAACTAGTAGCTGTGTGTTGACAACACATCTTCACCAGCCTTCATTTCCTGCTAAAGTTGAGGGTAACCAAGGCAAGCATAATAGTCAGTAGCACTAACTGACAAAAGAATCTCAACTTGGCATGCCATCTACCATGTATATTTTTTTGTTCAGTGGAGAAATTCTGGCTGCAGGAGATTTAAAAGAAATTTGGTCTTGTTTGTGTCATGTCCCCTACCCTCCCCCCACAGTGATTATTATTCCAGTATGTGCTGTCCACTTTGGAAGGTAAATTTAATCCCGAGACAGTAGCTGCACATACAAAACCAAGATAAACACACCAAAAAAGCCTAGCCTACTGTCTTTACTGTCTTTTGCCTTACAGTTCTTACCAAATTCCAGTAACATGAAATGAAGTTATTTCTTTTTTCCCATGTATTCTTATAATATTAAGCTACTTAATACAAAAAAAGTCTAAAGTTACTTTTTTTTACTATATATTAGAAAAGGGACCCATATGCTGCCATGTGGGAAGCTAGTGTAATTCTATCAATGATGCCCTAAGGATTTCTGTTTCAGTTGCTGAATTTTAAATGGATATCAGTGTACAGAGAGAACATCTAGGCTAGGCTTCTAAAAATATCAAATAAATGTTTGGATTTGTTTTAAAATACTTGTTAAATAGCACCAGTTTAACCAGCTATTCTGAATTCTATGTTTTAACCTTGTTTTATCAAAAATAAAGGCAAATAAGTTGTTTAAACTCTGCATGAGTTGGATGCTTAGGGTATTCTAAATATGAGGTTTTTCGAACTCCAGATGACTTTTGCTGATGTGCAAAAGATGACATGAGAAAACTGTTCAGAAAAAAACCCAACAAACTGTCTGTTGCATTGCAGCAGCACTGCACTTGCACACATGCAGCAGTATGAGTTTATGAATTAAGGCAGAATGAGGCAATGCTGTAGACAGCTCCATAAATCAAAGTTCAAACTCTGCCACAACTACAGTGAGCATATGGCTAGTCTTCTGTTGATTTTATTTCTGCAGCTGTAGTCTTTTGTACAGTAGTGATCATTCCATGCTTCCTTTGTTCCAATTTTTTTTTTTCTCCTTCCCTGCAGTTGGTTATATTCTGGGCACTAAATGAAGGTGTTGCCAGACAGTTTGACTCATTCAGAGATGGATTTGAATCAGTCTTCCCCCTCAGTCATCTTCAGTACTTCTATCCTGAGGAGGTTGGTAAACCTGTTTTTACTGATGCTTTTATAGCCTTATATGGATGGACAGTCTGAGCCTAGGTAGGCACTCAATGCAGTGCAGTTGTGACTAAATTTCTAGATTTCTAATGCATATTAGTAAAACTTGGTGTCCTTTAAATTGCATACTTAAAGATTTCTGTGTTTGGTCATTTATTTGATGTTTTTATAATGAACAGCTCCATTTTCTTTAAAATTAAGTGTATCCAGCTCTTCTGAAAAGAGTGCTTAAATTTACATATGCTGGCTCTCTATATTGGTACGGATACTTTAATGCTTGTGTACCTCTTAATAGCTATAGCTGTGGATGCTACCTGGATATTCTATTAAAAACGAGTAGTCAGCTTTTTAACAAAGCTTTAGACAGTAAGAGCAGATTCAGATGAAGGCGAAACAAATAATAGTTGGTCTTGCCTTATTCTTACCACCCACCATATCAGTTTCATTGTAAAATCCTTGTGCTCTTAAGTGGACTGAACTGAGACACAGTTATGGCTGTCGGGACTGAAAGAGAGAATGTTTTAGTACTTTGCCTCTAGGGACTTTATTTGAAGATTGTACTTTGAAGGGTTTGTGTACCTTCATAAATTTACACCTTTGACTTCATGAAGAAATGTTAAGCATGCTCTGAAGCAGTGTATTAGCCAAGCCTTTGTCTTACTCTTTTGTTCTTGGTGCTTTAGCAATGTAAGTCTCTTAAAGCTGAGATCTGTAACTGCTCGTAGTGATTCTTCTTCATTCCTCACTGGTACTACTTTCAAAGTGTACCACCACCTTTTATTTCCTGCAATAAATTTAAGGCTAGTAAAAATGGCAGATTATTCTAGCTTCTCCAGTTTTTTACCCAACTTTCTCCATTTGGTAGTATATGGGATGCTGTTTTTCTATTTTCTTGTTGTTTGATGTAGTTTGGTGCTTGCTTCTGCTTGGAGATTTTAAAATAACAGACACTGGTCTATTGCTAATCTACTAATACAGTGGATCAAAATTAAGCCATAGGAGTAGTGTGAAATGTAAGGTATCCTTTTCTTAAAAGGATATACACGTGTGATCTCGTGTTCTGTTGCTGATAGCTATCTAGCCATTTGAACCTTTTTATACACCAGTCCTCAACTGTTATAAAGAACTTGTAAAATTACTTTGTTAATGAACAGAACAGGAGGTGTGTCAAACCTCTCTTATTGAGATCAGGGCTTTACATCTTCTCATGTATTCTCCAAGATATGTCTGTAGAAGCTTTTAATGTTCTGGCTGCAGCCTGTCATCCCTGCTTGCCCAAGTGCAGAGCAAGTATCGGCAAAATAATTTAAGTACAAAACTGGCATCTGACAGATCTGTCTCTGTCTAATAACTGATTTTTTTTTTCCTTTTAAAGAAGAGCTCAGCATTCTAAAAAGCAAGTGTAAACACTGTTCTTCCTATTCTCCTAGATTTCTTTAAATGTTGTAAGTCTTCCAAAAAGCTAAGGCACTTCTGGTTCTCCAGTGTAAATGGCTTATTAGGACTGTCTCTGTTCTAAGAGATACATTCAACATCTCTTGTGGTAGTGGATTATATGCAAAAGCAGATGCAGCAGATGAGACTGTCACTGGGATGAGGCTATTGCATTCAAAGAATTTGGGGGATTCCTTGGGGTGACTGAGGTTGTTTTGCAGCTTTTGCAGCAAGCCATTCCAGAACGTAGAATGCTGTGATAGTAGTCAGAATGGACAGTACCTATTCTGCCTCGTGTTCTAAAGGTGAAAATTTCCTTCCATGTTTTTTACTTTTATAGTTGGAACAGCTCTTGTGCGGCAGCAAAACAGATACTTGGGATGCGAAGACTTTGATGGAATGTTGCAGGCCAGATCACGGTTACACACATGACAGGTAATCGGTGTTGGTCTTGTTAAAAGAATAAATATTAGCATTGGAAAATATTTATTTAAATAATCTTGATATATTCTTATTCAAGCTAAAATAATTATATGAAGTTCCTTTGAAAATACTTATACTGCACTGAATATGAATCTAATGCAATTTTTTTAACTATAAACAAAATAGTAATAATGGCTTGCTTTTTTCCCTTCCTTAGTCGAGCAGTGAAGTATCTCTTTGAAATTCTCAGTAGCTTTGATAGCGAGCAGCAAAGACTGTTTCTTCAGTTCGTGACAGGTAGTCCCAGACTGCCTGTAGGAGGTAGGTTTTGTTTATTCCATGTTGCTATATGTTGAATCAGTATTATTAATACATTTCAGAACAAGTGGATTATTTCAGAATAGGAAAAAATACTTAACGATGTGTTTTAGAGGTTCATACTTGTTTGACACTTCTAGTTTCAGGATTGGCTGGGTAAACTTGGGGTAGAAGTCTAAAACTTAGTGTTAATTTCATGATATTTCATTCAGTTGACTCTCTCCAGGTTTGATTTATGTTACCAGATAACCAGAGGGCAAAAATTACTTCCAAATCTAAACAAACAAAACTGAAAGCCCTTAATACTGTATTCCTTGGCTAGAGGTGCATTAAGCTATGACAACAACAAAATTATGCATTACTACCGGGGG